AATAAACGTGAAGCATATGGTGAAAGCTCATGAAGTTTTATTACGATGAATGCTACTCTGGCTAATCACCCTGAGTTGTTTTCTGAGGCATCTTGTGTCTCCTACGAGTTTCAAAATTCATTCATTGTTTGTTTTGGAGGTGAAAGAGTGCGTTTGAGAGAATGTTTGAACTTCCTCAGTGGTTCTGCAGGTTTTGTTATTGTCCTTACAATTCAAGCGCTCATCCTGTTTGTCCTTGCTCTGAGAAACACTGCCCTTTCTTAGACAACTGCTTTCTTTGTTTTAGGTTCAACTTTGTTAAATCAAAGCATAATAAAAATCAGTAAGCAAAAGTCTGTTGCATTTCTATACACTAATAACAAACTATCAGAACAAGAAATTAAGAGAACAATTCTACTTATAATTGCATCAAAAAGAATAAAATACCTAGGAATAGATTTAACCAAGGAGGTGAAAGACCCATATATAAAAAACTACAAGATATTGATGAAAGAAATCGAAGACACAAATAAATGCAAAGATATGCTGTGCTCATGGATTGGAAGAATCACTATGTTAAAATGTTCATGATATCTAAAGCAATCCACAGATTCAATGGACTGCCTATTGAAATTGCAATGACATTTTTCACAGGAATAGGAAAAATAATCCTAAAATTTGTATGGAACCACAAAAGACTCTGAATACCCAAAGGAATCTTGAGAAAGAAGAACAAAGCTGGAAGCATTATGCTCCCTGGTTTCAAACTATATTACAAAGCTGTAGTAATTAGAACAGTATGATATTGGCATAAAATCAGACACATAAATCAATGGAAAGAATAAAGAACCCAGAAATAATATGTGGTCAATTAATTTTTGACAAAGGAGCCAAGAATATACGATGGGGGAAAGGACACTGTCTTCAATACATGGGGCTGGGAAAACTGGACAACTACATGCAAAAGAATGAAACTTGACCACTATTTTACATCATACGTAAAAATTAACTCAAATGGATTAAAGATTTGAACATGAAGATCTGAAACAGTAAAACTCCTAGAAGAAAGTGTAGGCAGTAAGCTCCTTAACATAGGTCTTGGAAATAATTTTTTTGAATTTGATACCAAAAGCAAAAGTAACAACAGCAAAAATAAACAAATAGGACCATATCAAACCAAAAAAGCCTCTGCACAGCAAAGAAAACCATCAACAAAATGAAAAGTCAGCCTATTGAATGGGAGAAAGTATTTGCAAATCATATATCTGATAAGGCAGTAAGGTCCAAAATATATAAAGAACTTATATATCAACAGCAAAAAGAACCAGATAATTTGCTTGAAAATGGGTGGAAGATCTGAATAGACATTTTCCGAAGAAGACATACGGATGACTCACTGGTACATGAAAAGATGTTCAAATCATTAATCATTAGATAAAACCACAATGAGGTATCACCTTACAGAGTGGCTATTATCAGAAAGATAAGAAATAAAACATGTTGGCAAGGATGTGGAGAAAAGGGAACCCTTGTGCACTGTTGGTGGGAATGTACATTGACACAGCCACTATGGGAAACAGTACGGAGATTCCTCAAAAAATTAAAAATAGAATTGCTATCTGATCCAGCGATTTCACTTCTGTATATTTATCTGAAGAAAACAAAAACACTAACACAAAAAGATTCATGCACCCCCCCAACCCGTGTTCATTGCAGCATATTTACAATAACCAAGATAAAAGGAAAATGTTCATTAATGGATAAATGGATAAAGAAGATGTGGTACATATATACAATTAAACATTGCTCAGCTATAAAGAGGACTAAAATTTTACCATTTGTGATAACATGGATGGACCTCAAGGGCATTATGCTAAATGAAATAATACAAAGAAAGACAAATATTATACGATCTCTTTTAAATGTAGAATATAAAACAAAACAAACAAAATAAAACCAAGCTCATAGATACAGTGAACAGATTGGTGGTCGCCAAAGATGGGGGGTTGGGAGTGGGAGAAATAGGTGAAGGGAGTCAAAAAGTAACAAGAAAAAATATGAAATGAAATGAAAAAATCAAGATTGTTTAAAGCCAAATTAAGCTGCTGTATAAAACTATTGGATTCTACTTGTTGATACATAGCTAGTATAAGTAAATCAGGCCTGCCATTAATTTTGTGTTGCCACACTGTTAGTACTCTATAAGTATTCTATCCTGATTCTCATGTCATAAGCAAGGTCTAGAGCTTTGTCATCTCTCCACCTGCTTACTCTTTTTTGAGATCGAACAGTTGCTACTCTCAAAGTGTTATTGTTCATGATTACTTGCCTAGACAACATTTCCACACAGATGCTTCACAGATCATGTAAGATCTTACAGCTAGCTTAGAGTCTTGATTATTATAGAGTATTGATTATTTATTCCTTTGATTGCACTGTTTTTCCTAATTTATGTAGGAGATTGTCTTTAATGATGTACAATGAACAATTGGCGCATCCTTAAGTGTAGTGACTTTCAAACATTTGACTGCCATTTACAATAAAAAATAAATTATAAAAGAAAAAAATTTATTTTTCCACTTAGAGTTGACATTCAAAAGTATATTAGTTTTAGGTGTATAGCATAGTGGTTAGACATTTATATAACTTACAAAGTGATCCCCCCAATAAATCTAGTACCCCTCTGACACCATACATAATCATTACAATATTATTGACTATATTCCTTTTGCTGTACTTTGTATCCCCATGACTATTTTGTAGCTGCCAATTTGTACTTCTTAATCTCTTCACCTTTTCCACTCAGCCCATAAAAAATGAATTTTACATTGTGATCCAGTGTACATGTGCATGGTATGTATAAAGTAAAAGTTTGATTAAACATTATTTATCCTTGTTATGTGTGATACACGCCGTAGTTTCTATTATATTGTTCTTTATTTCCTTACAAAATTCTGACTATAAGTGGATTTCCTGACCACTAATGGGTCACAATTGTAGTCTGCAAAGCACTGCTTACCAGTCATCAGGTTTTAGGATATCTTAGAATGTTAATTCCAAGAAGACTTTGAAAATTACCTATGGAAAATTTTCCCTTTTCCTCTTATTTTATATTGGAAGGAACTTGAAATCCAAGTAGGTTAAGCCTTCCTTGCAAGGACACAGAGCTGCTTTGTGTTTATACTATTACACTCATTTGTTTCAGGAATCATGCAGTGGCCAGTTGGACTACAGGGACTGTAATTTTTGAGCCTAGCAATTATGCTCTTGGGTGGTTTTATGGTAGTGATAAATTTTACCCACTTCCTTCCACCAGTTGGCTATCAAGCTATTTTCTCCCTCCATTAGTTTATTATCCCCTATTCTTGCCAAAGGGAAGACTGTTAACAAAGCACTGAGTGTACTGTCTCCTCTTCTAGGGATGGCACACTGCTGTTATTGTCATGAACTCTCAGAGAGCATGGGTTGAATAAGAAATAGGTGTAGGCATGTAGTTAGACATTAAAAATATAAAGAGGTCTAAATGTATATTTTCTTTAAGGCAATTGCAGTCTTACATCTTGATAGCTCCATATATCTTGATATAGTTGATGTTTTTTCACCATTCCTTCAAAATCAGTAATGATTTCCTTTTCCCGAAGTTTACATTTTTGGTTTCATTGTTTCTGTTGTGAAGGGAATTACAGAACTTAGGGTCAAACAATTAGCAAAACCTTTTGAGTTCTCAATCTCAGTCATAGTGTGTCGTTGATCAGCATGGGCTGCTCTAACAAAATACAATAGACTAGGTGGCTTAACCAAGAGAAATTTATTTTCTCACAGTTCTGGAGACTCTTAGAGGTGACAGAAGGGTTGGTGTCTGGTGAGAGCTTTCTCCTTGGATTGTAGACATCTGCTTTCTTGCTGTGTCCTCACGTGGTGAAGAAAGGGAGAGAGCAAGCAAGCTCTTGGCATCTCTTCATATGAGGCCACTAATCTGATCAGAACGGGGCCCCACCCTCATAACTTCATGTGTGCTAATTACCTCCACAGGCCCCATCTCCAAATATCATCACATTAGGGTTTAGGGATTCAATATGTGAATTTTAGGAGGATACAATCCCATCCATTGTACAAAGCTAAGATCTTAGTGAAGTTTAAATAGTGACTGAAGTGTGTAAAGAAATGCTCTCAATTGTACTTATTAAAGACAGACTCTTTTATTTGAATGAATGGATGTTTTTCACACTCTATAATTCTTATAATATTCATTAGGAATAGTAACACATTTAATTTCTTTTAGTATTCTTAGGAATATAAATATGTAGAAGATAGTTTATAGTTAAATTTTGCCTGAGTAAAATGATACCTTGAAAAAGTTATTTTTTGCAGAGAATTCTTTTCTAATGAAGAATCTATTTCTCATTAATAGCTAATGAATTTCTAAACAGTCCACCACTATTTTAAAACTTTATGTAACATAGAACAGCTACCCAACATCACTGAGAATAATACATGTTTTAGCAAACAATCATTTGTGCCAAGCATATTTTAAAATAACTTTTATATGTTGGGATTATTATTGCTCTCTAGGAGGGTGGATGAATCTCTTAACCATGAAACTGTAAGGGAGCCTGGTGTTTGTCTACAAGAAATGTTATAGAGAGCCACTCCAATAGCCCACACAACATATCCATTCAAACTGCAGGAAAATAGAGGGAGGATGGAGAATATTGAATCGTTTTAAAGGCCTTTGTTTTAAAGTCCTTGGAAACTCCCAAACCAGTTCTTATCTTTTTGGCTGCTATAGGAGGACTGTTGATTAAGAAGATTTTTTTTTGCTATTTTTATGGTTTCTAGGTTAAAAGAGGTGTGGGTTGTTTTCCAATTTTAGGGGTTTATATATTTCTGTAATGGGTTTTTGTGTAAAAAATTGGTACTGTGTGTCTAGAAGAAATATTCCGTGTCTCTTTACAGCATCTTTGCTTGGGTGCTTTTACTATGTTAACACACATATGTTTACTTTATTTCTGCTATTTCAGTGCTTGTCAGCTGAAGAGATCTTTTCCCTTCACGGTTTTTCAAATGCTACCCAGATAACCAGCTCGAACTTCTCAGTCATCTGTCCAGCAGTCATACAGCAGCTGAACTTTCACCCTTGTGATGAGCGGCCCAAACAAAACACTAAACCAAGTCTGTCTGAAGGTACATTAGAAGCTGTTTTTCCCATTTGTTTGGAAATTTTGTGGGCTAGCCCGAAATGAAGTCAACATGCTTCTTTTTCTGCTTTACTGGTTTTATTACTCTATGTGGAATTCCCTGGTAAAGTACTTATATTCTGGACATGTTTAGAATAAGAATGATTAGAACTCATCCAAGCTTCAAGTTATGCTGTTCTATTTGTGGAGTCAAATTTATATGTGGTGTTACTTGAAAACTTTATGAAACTAAGTTCTTGATTTTAAACAATATATGTTTTATGCTGTGCATATTGGATTGTATATTAACTATATAGCTCAAGACTGATCAGTTAATTTCTATTACCTTGTGCTTATAATATGCCAGCAATTATTTTAAGTGTCTATAATGGTATTGCCATAGATATTGCATTTTAAATTTCTTTATTGCTATAAAGAAATTTTAAAATATAAGAAAACAAGTGCATGCTTACTGTACATTTCACATACTAAAACATGAAGAAGAGTTTTTTTTCACAAATGAGATAAACCAGTTGTTCAGGAGGTCTGTTTGCTAGCTGTGTGCAATTTCTTGGTATTTCAAAATTGTTACACTGTCTGATATGGTTATTTTAATTCTCATTGTTTTGTTCACTTATGCATTCAATAAATGTTTATTGAATGACATGCCAAGCACTTTTCTGTGTATTGAAGATTCAGTCTTGAGCAAGAAGGAAAATTCCCTGCCCTCTTAGGGCTTATGATGTAGTGGAGAAGAGAAATAATAAACATTGATACAAACAAGCAAATAAATAATGTAATTTCAGAGTGATAAATGTTATGAAGAAAATAAAGTAGGTAATAGGTAGAAGGAGATGGTGGGTGAGTGTGATTTTAAATGGGTCAAGGAGGACTTTCTGATGAGGTTACATTTGAACAGACACCTGACTGAGGGGGTGGGAGAGGGCTGTGACAAGATCTCTGAGTGAAGAGCGTTCTAGATTGAGGGAACCATCAACATAAGCTTGGACATGTGCTTGGCGTGTGTAAGGAACAGCAAGAAAGCCTGTGCGTCTGGAGCAGAGTGAGCAGGTGGGAAGACAGAGGAGGTGATGATGTGAGGAAGCCGGGGGCCTATAGGGTTCTCTAAATTGATTGGATTTTATTCTGAATGTGATATGAAGACATTGTAGGATTCTAAACAAGGGAGTAATGTGATTTTATTTGAATTTGTAAAAGATGATTCTACCTGCAGTTTGAAGGATAGACGGTAATGGGGTAAGAGTAGAAGCAAAGAGATTGGTCAGGAGGCTGTTGCCAGGGGTTGGTGCTCTGGATGATGGGGACTTGGGCTAAGGTAGAAGAAGTACGAGTGAGGAGAAGTGATCAGATTCAGGAAGGATTTCGGAGACTGTGCCAAAATGGTTTGCCTCTGGATTGGATGTTGGGGGGGGAAAGATGAATCAAAGTTTGAGTCATTGAAATTGGATTGGATGGTTGCACCATTTCCTGGGATGGAGAAGACTGGGGAGAAGCAGTTTGTTATGGAAGAAGCAAGTGGTGAGGATAAAGAATATGATTTTTGACACAGTCAGCTTGAGACATTGATGTAGACTAACGAGGAAAGGTGTTTGGTAGGCAGTGGCATGCACACGTTTGGAGCTCAGAAAATAGGTTTAGGCTGGTCTGAGTGAGCACATTTAACATGAAAATAATAGAGACTATAGAGAGGCTAAAGATAGAGACGAAAGGGAAGCATCGACAAAGGAAGTGCCTATTTAACTTACTTTTGGATTCTTTTGTGTATATATGAATACTTAAATCTCTCCATGTGAATAACAGAAATAACGATAACAATGACAATAATGATAATAGCTAACTCTTATGCAGCATTTACTATGTTGCAGATACTGTTGCAAGTACTTTATGCATGTTAATTAATATTCGTACAACTATATGATGTAGGAACTACTATTCCCATTTTATGACCAAGAAAACAGAGGTACAGAGAGTTTATAGTCATTTCTTAAGAGTGCGCAACTTGTATATGGCAGAGCCAAGTTCAAACCTAGGCCGTCTCGGCTTCAGAACCCATGTTCTCTATTATATTCTATATTTACGTATACAAAGAATAGAAATTACCATGTATATTTTATCAATATAGTTATCAATTTTGTAAATAATAATTTCAGAACTAATTGTTCAAGCAAATATTATTTTCTAGAATATGTACTAAATAGGAACATATTTATATTTCTACAAGTCTGTTTAACTTTAATATAGTTTGCACTTTACATTCAAAAGTAAATTCAGTAAATGTTTTATATACTAACATTTACTAAAAGTAGAGCATAGTAAAAGCATAGATTCTGAAGTCAGGTCACCTGGGGTCAAAGCTCAGCTCTGTAATTTTTCAGCTATGTTGGATATGTGACTTTATTTATGTCTTCCTTTCTCAGTTTTCTCATCTAAAATAGTGCTTTTCTCCTAGGGTTGCTCTAAAAATTAAATAATATTAGCAAAGCATTTAGAATCACCTGGCATATGATTAGGCACTATGTATATGTCTATTAAATAGAATATATGTAACATGCACATAATTCTGAGATGGGGCTTCAGAAAAAGCAAATCCTCTGTGCAGATTAATTACTGATAGTCAAAAGTGTTTTTAACCCCAATTCTCATGTTTACTCTATCTCAGGAACCAGGAGATAGGAACAGGGAAGTGGAAACAGGAAGTGAGAAAATTCTAAAATGGAAAAATCAACAATTCTAACTTAAAAGATCAGAAAGACACCAAATATTTGTATAGAGGACCCCAAAAAGAGAGAAATACCTCTTAGGGTACACAATATCTTAGACATTGAAATGGGGCTAGAGTAGGGGGAATGGGTCAGAGGACATATAGAACTGTTTCTGGAGAATCAGGGAAACTAGTAGAGCATTGTTATCACCTATCTAGGATGTTTAATTTGACAATATATTGCCTTTATTTGGTGTTTAATATCTTAATTGTCTTATTTTAGGGCAGCTGTGTGAAGCTGAGCAACTTATTTAATGTCTCTGTGCCTCAGTTACCTCATCTATAAAATATAGATAATAATATTACATTCCTTATAGAATTGTTGGGGGTATTAAACGAATTAATATTTGCAAGTTCCTACAAGGGTGCTAGGCACTGAATAGAAAGAATATGACTTTGCTCTTCTTATACATGTGTTCAAAGGTTCATTCCTATCTTTGGTCCCCGTGTAAGCCCATTCTTTTCCCACAGAGAACTATATATTTTTAAATGACGAAATGCACTGTATTCTTGATATAACTGTTAATATACATTCAATTCTGAGTTCATTCAAAGGAATGAAAAATGAAAATCAAAATAATCCAAAGGAGTTATGATACAAGGATTTTATGAATGCATTTACACTGATGTTTCAGTGGGCATATATCAGTCTCATTTATCAGAGACCTCACGTTTAGTGATTTTGAAATTGCCTTTCAGGTGCTTTATAAACTCATATTGATGAGTGCAATAAACAAATAATAAATTAAATTCTCTAGGAGACAAATTAAGTTTTAGCAATAATTTAATGGTTCAGAATTGCCTCATTTTTATTGATGAGGTCAAAAAATGCTGTTTAATTCAAATAATAGATAAGAATAATATAATTTTACTTGTAATGTCCCTGGAGATCACATTGTTCAACTTCAATAAATTGAGTGATGACATAAGTCTTAAGCTCCAGAGAGGTTAAGTGGCTTTCTTAGATACAATACCTGAGATAGGAAGAGAGGGCTCTGAAGTCCTAGTTTGTTGTTCTTTCACTGTATAATAATGGGCTAAATGAACTATAATTTATATTATGGTCTACTTACTAATTTTTCAGTGAAAATAATGATAACATTTGTTGAAAATTTACTATATTCTGGGGGCTGCAATAATTGGTTTTATTTTATTCCTGTAAAAAGTTCTATGTGATAAGATAATTAAATGACTTAACATAGGTGAAGCTTTTCGAAGACTCTTACTCCATAGCAGGCATTTAGTAAATGTTAACTTTTTTTGTTAATATTCCTTGGAAATTTATTAAAATATTTCAGAAATCACTAAGCAGCAGAGAGAAAGGAGTCCTATGTGTATATGGGGAAGGCCAAGGAATATGTTTATACTGATTCATTCTTTGGTGCTCCAGTTGAATGAATGAATGAATTTGTTTCCCCTGAATGGTGTTCTAACAATACAAGTAGGGAAGCTATGCAGTGTGCCTAGAAGTGATGATTCACACTCCCAAAGTTCACCAAGTGGTCCTGATAAGTATGCATAAAAGATTAGATAAGCAAATGAATTGGTATTTTTTTCTGGCAAAGTTCTGGGTTGCATCTTGAAATACAGCCTTCATTAATTCATCCATCAAGGAATGTGTGCTATTTGCCTAAGGAACATTCTAGGCACTGAGGATGACTAAAACATAATCCTTCTCCTTGAAAATCTAATAATTTATATAATATAGACAAATAAATGTGATGACATTATTGTAGCACATGAGAAATGGTGAGTGGCCCAATTACCTTCAATCAAAAAGCTATGGGAAACTTGACAAGCAAGAGACGGCTGCCTGGAGGAGCTAGGAAAGCTTCATAGAGGAAGTCTTTGAGTTGGCTTGGAGAGTCATGTGTGAGTTTCTCAGGCAATGAACATAGAAAGGTGTTTCCAGATAGAGAATCATTAGAAAAGGTAATTCTGTATTTGAAAAACAGTGTGTCTGCATAAAGGCCATGTTGACAAAGGGGTAAATGACACTGGTATGGTCGTGTGGGAGTCAGTGGATGAAGGGTAGTTTCAAACAGAGGCATGAAATGATCAGAGTTGTGTTTTAGAATAATAAATCTGGTGGCCATGTCAAGTAAGGGAGGAAGGCAGACAAAAAGCTGTCATAATGTATCAGGTGAGGCAGTGAGAGATCTCGAGAGCCTGAACTCAAGGCTTAGGCAATAAGGATGAAGTTGGAGTGAGATTTCAAACAAAATTGGTAGAGTATGGTCACCAATCGTCTATGGAATTGACTAGTGGAGAGTGAGAAATTAAATTGACCATAACATTTCTGCTATTTATGGAGAGAGTGCACAAGGTAATGGAACAAGAATTCTCAGGGGAAGGTGATGAGTTTAATATGCGTATGTGACTTTGTCTCTCTTTGGTACTCAAAAACTCCTTTGCATTTTTATTTTAGTTTCAACATGTATGTTCCTTGTCTACCCAATGAGATTATGACCATTTGTTGAATGAATGAATGTAGGTAGGCTAATGATGGGATAGAGACTATTTTCGTTAAGGGAAACTACACATAGATGTATCGTGGAGGATGTGAAATTGAGAACTTTCTCTATGTGGAAACTCTGAGGGGAGTAGGTAGTATTGTTTTGGGAGATAAGGTAATAAATGAGAGTGAAGTGGACCTTCGTAGGTCCAATGAGATGACTTTGTCGGAAATGGTCGAGTCTGGAACTGATAAGAAAGTGTCTGGAGAAGATAAAGTCATGGTCAGTGCTGTGATGTAACACAGTAACATTTATTATCTGTTCATTTCATTTGGTCCTCAGTACAGGCTATCTATATTGTTTTGTGTATGGGCGTGCCTACATATTTCTCAGCTTCCCAAGCAAAAGATCTAAGCTGTTTGTTGGCAGGAATCAGTTTGGTTCACACCCTAGGCTCCATAAACATTTGCTAAGATTGTTTATTTGTAGATAGAATCACTTGAACTAGAATAGTGGTGAACAATCTTGTATTCATGAAGCATAATATAAAATGTTTAGTTTTGTTGAGCCCTTTGGGCTTTTTAAAAATTAAATCACCTCTACAGGAGTAATGAAGCATATTACTAAAAAATGTGGGCCTTGGAGACAGACTGTCTAGGTTCAAGATTTGCATGACTTTCTGCATGATTTATGCAGCTCATTTGAATTGCATATGTTTCTTTTTCTCAACTGCGTGAAGGAGGTAATAGTAGTACTTACCTCATAGGGTTGTGTGATGATCAAATCAATTGATACATGTTAGTCTCTCAGCACAGTGCCTGGCATGTGGTTATACTCACTAAGCATTAGGTATTACTATGGTACTCCACTGATAGTGTCCATGTGAAAAGTGGCCCAACATTTGAAAATGTTTTCTGGATATTTTAAAGAAGTGGCAATGTAGAGGCAGCTTTCTAATCTTTCACATTGTCCTTTGTGCACAGTGTGCGAGGCCATAGGCAAAGCCACATGTTGAACAGTTCAGGGGCCCGTTTATATGTCAGCTGCACTGCCAGCCACGACTGTCTTGGGCTCACACAGTCTGTTTTACTTGCATTCCCATTGCATCTTTAAACCAACCCCTGTAGGATAACCAGGAGGAAATTGGTCTTCAAAGGCAATGAGTCGCACAAGCCATGAGTTGTAGAGCTTAGGGTGACATTCATTCATTTCACTCAAAGCAATATTTATTAAGCATCTGCTGGGTGCCAGGGCCTGGGGATAGAGAGATGAATAACACATCATTTTCTCTGTCACCAGGACCTCTACTGTATTGGACATTTTCCCCTTAAACTGGGCCTGGCAGGGTCAGTTGTATAATACAGCTGCTCCTTTCCTGTGTGCATCCTACACTGGCTGAGTCCAGGTCCCACGAGGCCCTAGTTGGAGGGCTGAGGTGCTGCCTTCCTTAAGAAGGTGCTTTCCACAGGCAAGCGATTTTGCAGACAAGTGATTATGACAAGCTCAGTGTTAGCAACTATGGTCTCCTTGAAGCTAACCCACCCCCACCCATCTTCCATACTTTTTCCCTGAAACTCACACTGTCTCTGTATTCCTCTGAAAGGCTGAATTTTGACTAGGCCTAGAGCCAATAGATGAAACTATGTGGCATGGAGCCTGTGGGCCAGAGATTGTCACTATTCTAGATGTTCTCCAAATTTCCTGCAAGCTTTATAATTCGTTGATCCTGTAATGATGACTTAGGACTGATGAAAACATGCGCATGGGTAGTGTTTCTATTAATATTTAACATACTATATTTCTGTTCTCAGTTTTTCATGTAATTTTCATTGAGATGATTTTGCTGTTTTAAAGAAGATATCTGTTTCAAGCTTTTAAAGAAGATATTTGTTACCAGTTTAGTGTAAAGTAAGACTTCATTTGGCTCTTTTGCTCTGATTAATTTCCACTCTTTTTCTCTGATTCACAGTTTGGGGATATGGATTCCTGTCAGTGACAATTATTAATCTAGCATCTCTCCTTGGATTGATTTTGACTCCGTTGATAAAGAAATCTTATTTCCCCAAGATTTTGACCTTTTTTGTGGGGCTGGCTATTGGGACTCTATTTTCAAATGCAATTTTCCAACTTATTCCAGAGGTAAGGATGTCGGCTGTTTCTGTGAATAATTGTTTCTTTTCAATGTTTTATCACTTTGTACATTTTAAGCCTCCATAATTCTCACAGAATTTTATGGTCTGGTGTATAGTGTTTTGGATAAAAGAGAGTTAAAACACAGCAAATGAAAAAGCTTTTCTCAAGCTGCAGGGGATGTCACTGTTAGAGATAAAATTGATATTCTAAGAGGCCAGCCACTGAGACGTGCTCAGACAGCTATGGGACACCTCTGAGGGCCTTAAAACTTTATTCTGTCTTGCATTTGGTAAGTTTAATCTTTCTACACATTTTTATTATTTATTTATTTATTTTAAAGGGCACGCAATGTCACATTTACTGAAGAGACATCACAAAATTCCCTCATCTATTTATTGCAGCTATAGAAGATTAGAGGATAATAAGAATGTGTTTGACAAACCTTTATTTTCTTGACAGTGAAAAAAATCAATTAAAGGCCAATAAATAAACAGCAGCTTATTTTTCCCCTTTGATAAAATGTATTACTGATCTGACATTGACTCTTGTGCGCTATTTAGTTAATCAACAAATAATATATATGTTTTATTTCAAATCTATATTGTGGCCACATAAGGAAGAGAGAAAGAGGAAGGAGAATAAGTGAGAGGAAAAGAGAGGCAAAAGAGAAAGAGACATTAAGAGAAAGTCACAGAGGGGAACTAGAGAAATTCATATACACATGGACTGTCTCCTACCCCAGGCACACACAAATGAGGAGAAGCAAATCTCAAGCAAAAAGAAAATAGTAGTTCAGGGTATCACCCTCATCTCATAATTTTTAGAAAATTGTAACCAAAGTGTCTTTTAGTTTCCACAGCTATATATGAAATCAGGGATGTAACTTCTTAGAGTCATAGATTTATTATTATTATTGGTATTATTATTATTGTATCTAGAAGGGACCTAAGAGAACATCTACTTCAAACTCTCAAGTGCAGAGATGAAAAAAATTAAAGTTTGGGGGGATTAAATGACTTGATTATAGCCATACAATCAGCTAGTAATAAAACTAGGATGATGATACAGATTTTCTGGTTGAAAAATGTTATGTGTAATATTACCTGTAAT